GGTCTGTCATTTTTACCATTTATGTTACAGTGCTTAGACTTGTACAGGCCAGACTCAGTGGAAGTGCAGAAACCTTCAAGGCAAACATGAAATGCATTGCCTCATTCCCAACACCTATCCACTGATAAACTTCTTGTTCCAAAGAAAATAACCAACAGCCTAAAGCTTAAAATACTTCCACCTCACAGGAAGAAATCAAATGGCATGTTCTTTTTATATCAATCAAAGAAAGAAAAATTGTGGTTTACAGCTCTCCCATTCTCAGGCTTGTTGAGAGGCTAAAAATTCAATTTTGGTGGCTATAGCTGTTAGCTCTCTGAGCTCAACAGTAAATGCAGAAGAGAGGGTGAGGAGGAAAGCAAAAGAAAACAAAGCATCCTGAGCCTCAAGCTTTCCTGAGAAACTTAACATTTTCAATTTACCCTCACAAACCAAAACAGTCTCCAACTTGCTGAGGGCTTAAACCTTCAACTCAATGGCTATAGCATTTTGTTCGACCAATATATTAAATAAGTGAGAGGACTGAACATATACCTCTGGTAGTAGCAAATATGGGTAAAAATTAGTTCCTTTATTTCTATTTATTTATTTATGAGTGTTAGGAATAGTTGCTGAATTAACAGCCCGGAAGACTGAAAGTCTCTATTCAGTCAGAAAGAAGATAGCTCATACGCACCATCATTTCAGTCTTCTCCACACTTCCTCAGTAATGTCTCTCTACCTTGACTGGGAAGCACTCCACACAAGGCCTGGCCAAATTCCCAGGGAAGTTAATGGGAATGTTTCCATTGACTTGGGTGATGGGCGTGATGGAGAAAGAGCGAAGAAATCCAGACCTCCTCACTAACATTTCCTTCACCTGCCTATTGTATTGCACAGTGCCCTTCCCTCTTTGTTTTTTCACCTAGCTTGAGCCAGGGTCACAGGCTTCTAATCAACAAACAACAATCCATTTTCTTGAAGAATTAGTAGCAAGCCTATTACTCCAACCATGACACCTAGTCAACTCTTTGGTCATTTTTCTCAAGCTATCAGTGAGAGCTATTTATTATCTGGCACTTGTTTACTGGGCAGGACCATCAAACTCATTTCACAGAAGATATAGAACAGACATCCACTAGAAATGATTTATGGTAAATACTTACCTTAGTTAGCTTTGAACAGTGCCCTTGAGGTGAAAGCCTCAGTAGCCTGTTATTAATCCCTTGAACCATCAATCCCCCTGTTCCAATATATTCTCTTTTTCTAATTTCAGTCCTCCGAGTTCATGACAGATGACATTTAGCAAGGGCAAGAGGTTTATATAAGTAACATTAGGGGGCTTCAATGAAGCTCATAGGATGAGTGGCTCCTTTGTCGTGCAATTTATGTTTTAATAGGTTGTCACATGCCTGTAATGGAGAAACTTGTTTAAAAAATTGGGTATGAAGGAGTTTGGGTTGAGTATAGGATCAGAGAATTTGGGAGCAGTATGGGCCTCATCCAGTTTGCACCCAATGTAATTATATCGGGGAGGCAGAACATTTATTTTGCTAGAAGAAAGAGGTAAAATGTGCAGGACTGGGAAGCTAATGGGCGAATTTTGCTAATGAAGCTGTGGTGAAGGATAAGATTAGGTTGCTGGAGGGGAGACAGAGAACTGATTGGTGGCCAGAAGGGAGATTGAAGTAACTTGCAGGCATAGGATGGACTGATAGAGCTAAGGTGGGCAGAGAACAGACAGGGTGAATCAACAAGGGCCCTTAGGGATACTATAATTTAATGAGGGGAAGCGTTGTGAAGGCTAGCACTTTAACAGGGTTCAAAAAAGAACTAGATAAATTCATGAAGGTTAAGTCCATCAATGGCTGTTAGCCAGGATGGGTAGGAATGGTGTCCCTAGCCCATGTTTGTCAGAGGCTAGAAATGGATGATGACCTGTTCTGCTCATTCGCTCAGGGGCATCTGGCATTGGCCACTGTGGGAAGACAAGATACTGGGCTAGATGGACCTTTGATCTGACCCGGTATGGCTGTTCTTATGTTCTTATGCCATAAAGAGAATAAATTATTGGCCATGAATTGACGGTGGAAAAGTCAGTGTGGACGCAGGCTGAACAGTTTGGAAAGAGGCTGTAGAGGTTGAATTCAGGGCAGAGAATGGACTGATAGAATTAAGAGACTGTGGGCAAAAATTAGGGAGAGAAAGCAGGAGAGGGAAAAGCTCACTAGAAGTTTGCACAACAACTATAGTTGGTGTTCCCAAGTTTGTGGGCTGAAGACATTCACCTTCCCCACTAAAATCTTCAGGTTTTTATATCTTAGCATGTACCAGATCTGCACTCTCCTACTGGACAAACACATCCATTTTTTTCTTGAGGAAATAGTAGCTGGTCTATTACTCCATCCTTGAAAATGCTATGAATGACTATATGCAAATCTGCTGAAGGCTTTCTGATTGGCTAGCTCAATTGCTGATTGAAACTACTAATAAATTGCCACTGCCAACAAAGCTGCAATAGCAACTTGCAAAATCTGTTCAACTTAAAGTTTATTGTACATACCCACTCTTCATTTTTATTGCTACATCTAGCACTTGGTTACTGCCAACTCTAACATTTTCATCTGAGGAACTCCATGAGAGGATATTTCTTGCCTCATCTTCCCCCTCCTGAGCAGTGATGAAAAAATGTTTTAATCTTTCTTGTTAAATCTCAACCACTTGTTGGTTTTGAATCCGTTGGGTTCATATATGCTAACTTCATCCAGGGCAGTTTGCACACCTACTCTAAAGTTTTCTATCAATTATGTATTTCAGAAGCAATAAATTAGTGCTTCAGCTCTATTTCATTATCTTGTTTGGCTTATTTCTCATTTGTTTGCTTAACATTTAATTAAAAAAAACATTCTGGCTAATGTTTAGCTTATTTAGTTTCTATCCATTTGAGTTATCACTGATTTTCTTACATGTTGAACCTCCGAGTTGTCCATTAGGGGTTACTAATGAGACTTAACGTCCACTAATTACCTATGTTGATATGTTCCCACGCCTGGGTCTTTAAAATACTAGTGTTTGCAGCTAATATTAATTCTATGCTAGTTATAAAAATACTACTTAGCTTCATACCGTATGTAGATTTCTAAGCACTTTACAAAAGTGAATGCCATTTACCCCAATGTAAAGTTGATGAAATTGATTCACTCACAGCTGGGTCTTTCACATCCCACATGAATGTTCTAGCTACCATGCGACGGGCTATTCTGGAGTGAGTCACTTGTCTCCATAAAAACAATGGGAAGGTCTCAGTTTAGTTTCAAGGTTGAATGGAAAACTCCAAAATCTCAATTTTTTTACACAAAAAAGAGCATTTTGCCAAAGAAAACACAATTTCAATCAGCTCTAGAAATAACCTATCCACCGAGGAAAATATAAAGCAGTTTAAATTCACTGCCTTATATTTACATTGGCTGTCCCCTTGTATTTTGAGAAAGAGTGAGTAAACAAGTGCATGCTACCTGTTCTATATCAGTCACTATTTTGTACTGTCCTCTTTCTTTAAATGCTTCCCTTATCCAGTGGCAGTCCAGCACATCCATGGTCTTTTTGCTGGCTTCCTAATTTTATGTACTTCATATATTTCTAGTTAATTGTTTTCAATCTCTTTGACTATTTGGTCTTCAAATGCAATCTTAATTTTCCTCCTTACACAATATTTGCTGTAGTTTATAATGCTTTTTATAGGCTCCACTTATGTTGGATTTCCATTTTCTGAAGTTAGTATCACAAATATACTGCAGAACATTCCATGCTTTAAGTGGTTGAGGCTAGTATTTCATACAAGTTATTTACAATGAATAGTTAAATTAATTTCTGCCTTTAAATGTTAAAATTGGCCACAATCAGCAGAAAGGAGAAAAAAATCTGATTATTACATTTCAGTTATGTACAAAGCTATTGAACTGGGTGAAAATTAATAACAAATTTACAAAAGATAATCTTACTTTAAATTTGTGTAAGATTATCCTTGATGGTTACAATTCTAGAGGAATTTATAGGTCAGGAGAAGTGAGACTTCTGTTGAAACCTCCCATGCTTTAATACTTCCTGTTTGGCACAAAAAGTAAATTATATCATACTTATTACAAGAAGAACATTGGAATCTTCTCTGAAACAACTATGATAGATTTTTAAACATTATTTTGGTTGAATTGAAGTGATACATTCCAAGTCCTATTCATAAATGTATTAAAATATTTGATGAATAATAATAAATCAGCTCAGGAGGCAGGTGTTCTGCATTAACAGCTAGACATCTTCTCTGTTGGGGCTAGTCAGTGGTTTTCAAACTTTTATACTAGTGACTCCTTTCACACAGAAGCCTCTGAGTACAATATAAATTAAAAACACTATTTTATTTTTGACACTATTAGAAATGCTGGAGGTGAAGTGGGGTTTGGGGTGGAAGCTGAAAGCACATGATCTCCTTCCCCCAAGTAATAATCTTACTGGCCCTCATGGAGTCAAGAACCCCTGGGCTAATTATTTCTGAATTCTCTTCCAATATAGGTTCTAAAAATGTTCAGTGTTCCACCTTGGTTTTAATAGACTAATGAAGCAGTAAATCTATCTATGGTACTAATATAATCCCCCTTGCTATAGTATCTGAGCTGCTCACAATCTGACACACAGCAAAGTGCTATCATCTCCACTTTACAGATGGGAAACTAAGACCCAGAGAGAATAAATGACTTTCCCAGAGACAGGAGTTTAATCTGCTTAAATATGAGGCTTGAACATACTTCCTGTCAGGCCAAAGGGGTGAAATTGTACATAACCTGGTTTTCCATTACAATGTTCTGGTAAAAGGCCTCAAACTAGGCATAAGTTTACATCCATGTTAAGACTGCTTTCATTGCCAGTGTGATGTAAAGGGGCCTTTGTGAAAATGAGAATCAGACCGAGAGATATTAGCCCTAAGCATTCAATAGAATCTATTGAATAGATGATCTGAGTAGGTAATGTATTGTTCATTTTTTCCAAGCTTTCAACTTTTATTTTCATTGTACATAGTATTCCAACCAATCCCGTGCACTAGTTATGTTGAGCATGTAGTCATCCTGATGCACAGATTACTATAACAATTAGGAAGGGCGTCAATGAAAATTACTGCATTATCTTGAAATGCTCTGATGTATGTGTATAAACCTCATTTAAGTACATTGTCTGCTGAAGTGAGAAACAAGGGTATTATGACAGGAAAACATGTTGATGTATCACCATTCTGCCTTGGTGACTGAGCACTCGATTACTGTCACATAAAAATACTCTCTGCTAACAATAACACTATCTTATTTTCCTCATTTGTTTTGTCCCCTACCCTCTCAGTAAACCTGGTCTCACAATACAAATAAGGCAGCAATGATGCTCCAGGAAGTAAATCAGTTTATTTTAAGGAAATTATCAGAAAAATATTACCACATATCAAACTTCCAGAAAGAGACTGAATTTATTCCAAAACTTTTGGATATTTTACAGAATATTTTACTCCCTGCTTAAAGTACACCCACCACTGATAGGCCAAGTAGATTAGGACAGTCCTTCTGGCAGGTCCTAAATAGAAACCAATGATATTTCCTACTCATACCAGTAGTTTGGCTGAGTAGATATGATGGATAGGTGGGATGCTTGACTATGTTTGGTGTTGCAGGGTCTCTCATTTTTCTTACAGTATGGTGGGGGGTTAAGTTATATAGAAGGCTTGGCCTTCGAAAGGCAAGATTGATTCTAATATATAAGAAAAGGAATCATTATATACATTGGTGAGTAAAATGGAATGTGTACGAACAAATGTATTTAAGGGGTTTTGAATCAGTTTTCTCACTTGTTTTATTCAGCACAGAAAGGCTAACCTCTAGATGTCATCATCATAAGCATGACATGAGACCTGTTGAGGGCAATAGAAATTACCAGGATATTTTTAAAACCATGGATCAACACAAACTAGTACGTTTCTTTAATTGTAACAGAATTTGATTCATATTACAGGTAGTATCTGAACCTATTAAAATATGTAGGGTAATCCACCAAAGAACTGAATGCTATATTTTATAGCCAATAAGATTTGAATTAACATGAAATTGTAAAAGAAAAAAAACTATGGGCGTGTAACCTATTAGTCAATTTCAAAATAATTTCTTCCATATCAAATTCTTATTGGGATGGTTTTAATTTTAAACATAGACAATGGTACATCTCTCTTAATGTACATATTGTCTGCTTACATGTCTATTGTTAGTTTGTAGAGGCTGAATGTTACTTTTAACACAAATTGCTAAATATATTGACAAAAACAAATGAACCCCTAAGAAGAAACTACTGAACATCTTTCATTGGGAATGACTTTTTTTCATGTGTGACTGTGCTCATATTGTGAAAAGACAAGTTTCAAGACACAACATATTCCCTTGTAATGGTGTGTCTTTGTGTTCTTATTAATATTGACCATGACAAACCATTTGGATTCATTAAAGTTCAATACTCAGCTCTGCAAATTGTTCACAGGACATACGTTTATGAATAACAAAAACTAAGACTTTTTAAAGGGGAGATTTTTCTTCTTTTTCTGTGGTGTCTTCTTAGAGCTCTGATGTATAGACTGAACAAGACAGAATGCTTCTTTTGGTCTTGAAAGTATAAATTATTAAGAATTCCAACCCAGTACAACATGAGCAACAAGGAGATAACACATCCCAATGGTACAGGATATAATCATCATGGGGAATCCCAACCTGAAACAAAAACAAAATAAGGAAAGATCAATAAGGATGCGACACACTGTTTGACATGCAATAACGGCATGTGCAGACTTTTTGAAAGCAAAATTTAAAACTATCATACAAGTTACTAGCTTTTGATACCCTTATAACATTTTATTAAATGAAAGTACATTAAGGTATTGCAGGTTTATGACAGTAATGCCTGGTTGGCCAGAGTTCAAGTTGAGACATTCTACTTCTACTGAATTGACCTTGTTATCCCTAGCCTTACTCTTGATTGGTACTCTTTTCTTATGCCTGTATATTTATACCTGCCTCTGGAATTTCCACTACATGCATCTGATAAAGTGGGTTTTTGCTCATGAAACCTTATGCTCCAATAAATCTGTTAGTCTATAAGGTGCCACAGGACTCCTCGTCGCTTTTGCAGATTCAGACTAACATGGCTACCCCTCTGATACTTCCAGTTGTGACATTTAGATAAGTGTAGGTCAGACACATATATGATATAAATCAGCATAGCTGCATTGACTTTGATAGATCTCTACTGACTTATGCCACTTGGAATCTGAACCTGAATGGATTTGTTGTGTGTCATTCAATGCACAGTTATACAAGTAACACGAACCATGTCAGTTGTCTCAAGTAAAACAAGCAGTAAAATAGCTCATTCATTACTTTTGACTTCATGCTGTGCATTTACTCCAAACAAGTTCCTTATAACTCTGATTTATGGCTGACGTTTCTTTAGCTGGCTTCATCTTCCTGTTTTATTAAACATCATCAAAGTGTGGTAATGTTCTTTGAAGTCCCAATATTTCATTCATTGCCTTCATTGGCAATTGAAGGAAGAAGGTACCTAGTATATGTGGATGTATCGGTTATGTTTTCACCTTACTTCTCATGTTAGGCAGCATTTAGAAGGTTCAAGATATCTTCACTATCCACACACCATTAATTACACAGACAACAAAAAAATTCATTTGTAGCTGGTGACAGAGGGAAAACTCGCAGTTCCCATGTGTCTTAAAATCTCCTTGTCTTCCCTTTCTCTGTATACAAAGAGATGTGTTTAAAAAGAAAATAACTTGTGTGATGGCTCTGGTGTGATCTGCTCTCCTACTGTGCTTCCCACCTTCACCTGCAGCTACTATTCTGACAGGAATTGTGTAATGCTTTTCCAATGCTGTTTCATTGCCATGAAGAGTAATCTGAACAGGACAAGTAAAAAATGATTAGAGGAGCTTAAAAATCAGCAGCAGTTTAGTAGCATTTAGATGCTTTATTTATTATGGGAAATCCATCACATTAGGAACTGTATAAACACATAATAATAGCCCCTTAGACAAGGTAGGCAAGAAATACCAGACAGATGGCATACGGAAATACGTTACTTGGAACTACCTCAGTTAAAACTTAACTGCTTCATAGACCTCCATTGTCCATATGTCCCCACCCAGTGTCCAAGTGAGCCTTTCATCCACACTGTCCACTCCACAGAAACTGAGGCGACTCAAGAAAAGAAGAAGATACCCATAAAACTGACAGAGTAAAAATAAAGACTTCTGTGGCAGGCACATTATCCCACATCTGCCTGTTGGTTTCTGGCACCTTCCTTGAAACACATGGTGTTAACCACTATCAAAAACAGAATGTTGAACCGTAGAGTCTGATCCATTATAGCAATTCCTGTGGTATGATTCCAGCCACTCTTCCTTCTATGGCAGGGGGGCAGGGGGACAGGAGGGGCCACCCCCCCCCCCCCCCCCCCCGCCCATGTTGCTCTGGGATTTCAGGATGGCAATAGGGGCCATGCATCAGAGCTCTCAAAATATTGGTTAGCAACAGCAAATTTATGTTTTTGCTTGTTTGGGAGGAGAGAAGGTGTTTGAAAAGAAAGAGAATGAGACGCTACTAGAGAGGGCAAAATCTGCCTAGACTTCAAAATATTCCCTGAGGAAGGTGAATTGTAGATCTCATTGCTCTGGGATTTCAGGATGGCAATAGGGGCCATGCATCAGAGCTCTCAAAATATTGGTTAGCAACAGCAAATTTATGTTTTTGCTTGTTTGGGAGGAGAGAAGGTGTTTGAAAAGAAAGAGAATGAGACGCTACTAGAGAGGGCAAAATCTGCCTAGACTTCAAAATATTCCCTGAGGAAGGTGAATTGTAGATCTCATTTACACATGCGAACAACAAAATGGGCACAGAATTCTAGTGATTTCTGGTAAGCTAAGAATGCAGTAGATTGTCACACAGTTACCCTGAAGACCTGACTTCTTTATGTATGAATTGGATTTTTTTTAATTCAGATGAGCATGAATGAATATAGTGTAAGCAGGTATTATATTTTCCCCCCAGCTAGACTGACCCAGTCCTAGCTTTTGAATGGTTACTTATTCTAAGAATCTGTATAAATATCCTTTCATAGCATTCTTATTAAATTCATGGCATTGCAAAGCAGCTTTCTGAGTTTTGAAATAATTGGATGGTCACGCAGCTGCCTTTCAGACAATGTCAACCCTTGGGGTTTTTTTTTCCTCTTTCTGATCTCCCTAAGATGTGCCATCTCACTTTTAAAAGTGCTCAGCTCTGACTAGTTCACTTTAAGAATGAAATGGTGCTGTAGAAAAATCCATCTACAAATGTAAATACATCCAGTAGATTTCCATGAATGGCTCGTTGCCATACAACAGTCTGATGAAGGTGAGACTGCTAAGAATTTCATGAAAAAAGAAGCTGCAGACTTTATTAGACCTCACACTTAATAGAGAATAAATTCAGTGCTGCTGGGCAAGTTCTAGTAGCTTAGCAAAGCCCAGATCTTGTCCTGATACCACTTAGTGGGTTTCACAAGTGGATACACAAGAGCTCGGAGATGAAGGGCACTTAACACTTGTGTGTGCATAAGGGCAAGAAGAGACGGATTTTTAAAAAATGTTATCCTTTCCATAAAAAAATCTGAAAAACTCGTTTTAGTTTTGTGCAAGAAGTGCATGAGTTATGTAGAAAAACATGCAAACATGCAGGATTTTTATTCATATCTTTGCTTTAACAGCAAGAATCGAAGGCCTGGTTCTGCCACAAACACTCATATTTCATAGTGTCTTCCTTCATTGTTTTATTTGACATGTTTGCAGAGGGCAAGATTGTGAATAGGTTGAACCTCTTTAGTCCAGCACTCTCTGGTCTGGCAACATCTGTGGTCTGGTATGATTTTAGTTAGCTGGAGGTCCACTTATGATGGGTGTGCCCAAGTTTCCCGTGGTCCTGTAAATTTTGTATACAAATGCTAGTCCTGGCTCTCAGTGTTCTGTGCATTATTTACCTCTAATAATTTACCCCTAAATGTCTTCCAGGAGCCCAGCAAGTAGTGGAAGTGTTGGTAATGCTGATACACATAAGCATGCTTTTTATGCTTTAGCTGCTTATTTCCTTTTGCCAACACAGTAAAATTGTATAACACTAACATTTTGTTATGAAGAGAGCTGATGAGCCTTGGCCAGGCATAGGCTTATAGAGGATGTATCAATACAACATACATTATTAAGCAGCATTGCAAGATTTTTTCCATTTATTTGCATCAGCAAAATACAAATAAAAAGAGATCCATTCACTACAATATTGACCTTCTGTGGTTCAGCATATTCTCTGATTCAGCACCCATCAGGTCCCAAGGGTGTTGGACTAGAGAGGTTCAACCTGTACTCACATCAATACATAATCACTCATGCAAGTAGTTCCACTGACTTTTACTACTAACGCAGCTACTCATGTAACTGCTCACTTGTATGGGGCTTAATTTTACCATAGGCCTGAACAGGAATCGAATGGAACTGAATTTACTGCAGCTATTTTCACTTTGATAGTATCTGTGCTCAGGTTGCCAACTTTGTAACATATAAAAACCAGACACTCCAGCAAGAATGCTAGAACCTCTCATGTCTGACCTGGAATATTTACAGGAAAAGTGATTTATCCTGGAAGAAAGACAGACTCAACAGTTTCTGCCTTCTATATTGTTCTGAGCACATAGCACAAAGGGAAAGTGAATTATTTGGGGATCTGCAGAGAGATGTCTCAGAATGGAAGGTGGGGTCTCTCATGAGTTCTGGAGTTGCAAGAGGATACCAGCAATCCTCGAAGATCATACCACTGGTGGTGCTGGCTCAAGCTGTTACAAAGCACAGTGGCAGTCTATATGAACATGGAGTGCCACATTTTGCTCTCACTTCTATGTAACCCAACTGGCTGTGTGGAATTGCATAGTGATTTAAAATGAGGCTTGAATTTGGTCTCTAATCTATCTCTGAATAGCTATTTAAGAATTTAACTTAAAGAACATATTTTACAGGCTCTTCCCTCCCACTTACTAGCCTGTTATCAGCACCTACATACACAGTAAAGAAATATGTTGCATGCCTGGCAAGTGTCATATGAGAAGATGTGTCATTTCAAGCAGTCCTTGAATAAAAGCCACACTTTGGTTTGGAAGTCCTATGGTGACAAGTTTATTTGCAAAAATTTACATCTTGAAATTACAAAAGTTGCCTCAAAAATTGGATTCAAGTTTTGAAGCTCCTGCAGGCAATTCAAGGGCTGCTTCTGAGTGGAAGGCAAGTCACTCCTGTTAATGAAGTTTCTATCATTTGGTTTTCAAGATGGATCTTTTAAATTTCCTTCCAAAAGGAATGTGGCATGATAGCAATTTACAGAGTCCTTAATCAAAAGGATATGTTTATAATCCTCTTTATGTGACCATTAACACACATGCACACACAAATACATACACCTTTTGTGGGGAGGAATGGAAACCAGTTACTGGGGCTGACAGACTCGTTGGGCCCCTGTACAAGCTGGGGGAGCTCTGCACTCCTGGAAGGGGCAGACCTCAGGCAGAAGGGGTGGGTTTGGGGCAGGGATAGCCTCCCCCAGGCAGCCCTCAATGCTGTCCGGAGCACACCACATGTGGCTTCGGTGGCAATTTTAAGGTCCCGGGACTCCAGCTGCCA